ACTGCTTGCAAAATTATAATAAAATAAAACAATAAATAACATTATATTTTTAACAGCAATATATACTCTATAGATGACTATTTTAATTTACTTATAAAATTGAAATCTTCAAGAAGCGAACTAATATATAAAAGTAGTAGATAAAAAGAATAATTATTAATATAAAATATGGTATAAATGGAAAAATATATATTTTATTTGGCAGTCACTGTCTATCAACTTAGTATAGTAATAACAAAAACGACTCAATAAAATATAATAAACAAGTACAAAAATAATTACTATTGTTTCTGATTGTCTAATTTTTAACTCTTTTCAAATACATATGAAACAATATATTAATACACATATCTTTTATCTTTACATCTATATCATAAAGTATTTTATAATATAAAGAAAACGCGTAAAGAATTATCTATTTAAATTGCACGAAATAAATAGAACTCTTTCTTGCAATACTCATTTACCATTTTGCAATAATTTAAGGACAATTTCAGTAAACTATATAATTGAATATAATTATATATTCTAATTATTAACTAATCACTTTCATATATTCTAAATTTATAAGTAAATTCCTTATTGTAATCCTTAATAAATATTTTATTGTCCATCATGGAACATTTCCTAACTCTATTTATTGTCTGTTCACACAGTATTGTCGGTTATTTAAATATATTATCCATTTTTTACAACTAAACTGTTGTCTGGATGCTAAGGAAGACCATTATTGTCCAAGTTCTTTTTTATTGTCTGAAAGTTTCTGTCTCAGAAAACTATTATTAGAAAAGCCTGAGGTACAGCTGAAAGATACTGTTAAATAAACCAATTTTCAGATAATATTTCAAAAAAATAAATAAACTATTATCGCATATATTTTTTGTAAATCAAAAAAATTTTCTGATCTAAAACAAATTATTTTTAGATATCATTTGCTTTACAAACATGTAAAATATTAATCTTTACTATTTTACCAAATTGCGACAAAAGATCTCTTAATTTATAAATAATGAGAAAGATGTTTGATACATAAAAATTAGATCTAAATTTGCATTGCAAATAACAAATAATTAAACAAAGCTGGCAAATAAATCGAGCTGGATCCTAATTATCATCCTGGCCAACAATACTGTTCGTCTTACTGCTTAGAAAAAATCTAAGTTAATTAGTAAGGCTCCTAAAAATGACATATTTCGTATAAAGTATACTCATTGATTTTTCTATAGTGCAGATCAAAAAAGTGCTGGTGCAGAGTATTGTCCCTAGAATTCAGTCAACAAGTTTCTTATATCTATATATTGAATAACAGTACAGCGCTACGAATATTATTCTACAAGCTTCTACACTTAAATACTTTACATTATAACATTATTTTGTATACGTATAACAACTTTCGTACAATTTGTTTATATCTAATGTACGTATAAATATTTTAATTAAAATATGGCTGAGCATCACTATCAAGTATATGTTAAGTTCTTTTTACTCTTAATCTTATCCTTTTTATTAAAAAAGTCATCAATAATAATTAATTAAAAATATAATTAAAAATATGTACGATATCATATGTAAAATAAGCACAACACATTTCATTCACTGCATTAAAAAATTTCAAAGTTTTTTTATAAATATATAAAACTTTTAATCCTAGAATGCATATTCTTGCATATACAAAAGGAATTCAAACAAAAGTTTATATCTACTGTACATTATAACAATGAATTAAAAATATTTCTAATGTTTAAAACAAATATCAAAACTCATATTTAATAACACAGTTAATAGAAATAAAGATAAAATATTTATTTTCATATTTTCATAAATCTATCTAATCTTTTGTTAGCTCAGCCCAGCATGGGATACTTTTTGCATACCGTACTTTTCGATGAAATAAATACTGCAAAGTGACGAACCTAACAGACAAAATTATATATAAACGCCAATAATTGAGTTTAGACTGCGACGCTATTTCTCATCAAATAGCATTTGCAGTGAAATATATGATAAAAGTGCACGCTACTATTCATCATGGCAGTTCTTCCATCTTTAATTTGTATATACAGCATTTTTGTAACATCAAATCTATCTCGAGTTGCGTAAAGAATCACGATTCCAGTATATTCATCACAGAACTTGCATGAAAATGCACAGTATGCAACAATGTCCCAATTATGTCTATATTTATATATATATGATTTTTAAGTATTTAGCACGCGTTAACTTATAATGTGATTATATAGATAACCGACTAGGCTGCATTTATATCAATAAGCACATAGACATCTTTTTGTTTCTTAATTTGTTAATATATTGTCTCTTCGTATGCGCATTATTTAAAATATTCATGCGATAGTACATTAATGCATTTTATGCAATATGTGTACGATATTTTACCCGTAACGGGTGTGCGCTTAACTCGTTCCTTTACAAAAATACAGTTTATCGCGATTGTATATATACATATATAATGTGTTTTCTTCATCTTAATAGTATATACTAAATTATATAACTTCTCTCTGATAATATTAAGATATCTGTGTAATACTGTTCAATATCACAAACCATCGAAAAGCATTTAGCTTTTCTTTTCAAATATAGATGTGCGACATATCAACGAAAGAACTATTTCAAAAGAATATCTATAACCCTCTCCTATATGTATGAGGATTGTTTATAAATCACAGATTTTCTATAATTGCCATACAAATATACGTCATTTGAGATGGAATAGCAAAATAAGTTAATTTTATCAGAAATACGTAATAAGTATTAATAATACAGTTGTTATATTTCCAAAGAGAATATTATTATATTTCTGTAATTATAAAAAGGAAAAATTTATAAACTATAAATGTAATAGGCATTATGTCTTCTAAGGTATACATAATCTATATCTATACACCACTATTCCATTCAAATGACTCATATCATTGAATGCCGTTAAACGCACACCCTATAAATCAAGGGTTTCGACCACTTGGTGGCTCATACGCGGCTGTCTTAAAGTCGGCAGCAATACAAAATATTTTTTGTCGCATCATATGCGTGGATTTTCGTTTTGTGTGCATCCTCAAGTATTCTTATTTCAGTAAATACCAAAAGTACATACATCGGCATCTTTGATCCGATCTCTTTTGTCTAGTAGTTTTTCCTAAAAAAGGATTTATTATTTAAATTTACTATGTACGCAAACATCCACGGCATTCATATATAGTTTCATTTACAAAGTAATATATTATAAATAATATATATATGTTTCCGATTATCTCACGTTTTACTTGTTCGAGTGGCTTATCATAAAATCTTCTTACGAAAAATCGCGAAGTGATGAAACTCCGTGTTAATTGGACGAACTATGACTGAGAATTGTGGTAGCAAATATCAGTAATTATACATGTTGATAGAATTGGATTCTACAATCATCCACAATATGAAAAAAAATAATTTTTGCTTGCTGCGATTGCTTAATATGATTAGTAATTGAATTCTTGTTATCACTTGAGGAAAAATTTAATTGTATCTCTATTTATTGTCCTTCCAAACTTAGCAAACATTTATGATTATCAATAGTTTTTACTAGCTTATGATTTTTTCGTTTGTCTGTGTTTACTAATTTCAAAGATCTTCTTATCAATACTCAGCTCTCTTTTTGTTACTCAAAGCTGCACAAAGTGTGTGTGTGTGTGTGTGTGTGTGTGTGTGTGTGTGTGTGTGTGTGTGTGTGTGTGTGTGAGAGAGAGAGAA